TTCGAATGTGCATGTTGATGTCATTGCAACAGGAAGTGAAGGCCGTGCCCACTCAACCACAAGTCAGCATTCATGTGAACCGCAAATGCTGCACCATGAAGCTCATGCCGGCACATCCTCTGGCACGTCTGCACAAAAACACCTGCAGCCCCCTCGTGTCATCGGCCATATGGGAGGGTGTGGGGGCGTGGCCTCACAGGAGGAGATGAGCCACTGTGACAACACGCTGCGGCTGCTGTGCAGGGGACGTTTTTGTCTCATGGGCTCATTTCAACTTCATCTCATACTCACTGATCTTATGTTTTGTTGTGATGTTATGCAAGCACAAGGAGGTCAATGTGTGATGTGACTCTGAGAGCAGCAGTTATTTTGTTTTCATATACTGGCATGCACAACAATGAAAATGTTTTCTGGCTTTCTCCTCATCACTGGCGCAAGAGGATACAAGTTGGACCAGAGCATTCCTGACATCCACGACAAAGCTCAGGCATGCGAAAGGTTCGCATAAATATCAATCAGCAGACCAACAAGGGCCAGCGCTGCTGACTGCTCCTGCGCATCCCCACTCCGCACACGAATATGAACACAGCTTTGATGACCTCACTGTTAAAACGCAACAAAGACCCAACGACGACCATCCAATTATCGGCCTGAAATCAGACTTGTTTAAATGTTACGGAAAGCGATGCTCCTCGTTCTACCTGACCTGAATTTCCTACACACAACAAACATCCTGTCCCAGTAAGCTTTTGAGACAGAAACCATCACCGCTGTCATCTGTGGCGCAGGTGCCATGGCGACCGCTTCCTGTGGAAAGAGCTGCAGACACGCACACCAAGGCTCACATAGAAATAGCGCAAGTCATTTTTAACTCATGATCACAAAATAAATACTGATAGGCTTGCTAAATGATGTGGGATTTTTTTTTTAATGTGTGGGTTGACTCTCCTTCATCCACGTTGTGGCAAAAGTAGAATCGAGGCAACTGAATTCTTCTATATTGTTGATTTTTTTTTCAAAATGGCTTTCTACTATTTGAACAATTTGTAATCATGCTGATTAGATGTCTTCTTTGTATTTTATTCATGACTTATTAAATTGTCTGGGTTTAGAATCTTGGTGGTATCTTTTGAATCATCCAAAAAGTAAGGAAGCTACAGCCTTTTAAAAATGTTCTTTTATTGAATTTTTGTTGATATAATGACCCATTTCATAGCTCACTGACATGCAAAAAGTAACAAGTTGCAAAAGAAGCGCAGGAGGAAGAGGAAGGCGGTGGGGGCGTGCTGGCTACTCTGGTGCCCCGAACCACAGGCCGAGTGTCATGACACAGTTGATGGCGAGCGTCTTGGCGAAGATGAGGCGGAGGGTGAGGACGGCGAGGGACAGGAGGTTCACCTTCTCGTCTGCCGGCGACATGCACATTTAACTCAGCCCAACAGGCTGCGCCTCTCACATGTTCAATACGAACCTGGCACCAACGTTTCATGGCACTGCCCTGGTCCACTGTCACCTGTGGCAGCAAAACAGGAGGCAGACGTGAGGTGGTGACTCCACTAAGATGGCTGGAGGCCTTTGCCCACACTCCTCACCTTCCTTGCACGTGTCGTTATGTGCGGTTGTGAGCAGTGCCACCTGGTTGTATAACGAGTCGTCCGATATTCGCACGGGGCGAGACTCCTCGAACATGTGTCCTTTCCCCGGCTTCTCAGTGGCATTGTGTTGACTGAAGCCGGTGGCAAGACATGCCGTAAGGTTGCTGGCCTCAAGTTTGTAGAAGGATGGCTCAAAGTCCTCCCCTATAACACCAACCAGATTCTCACATTACAAGGGAAGTTGCGTTAAAAGTTTTCATTACCATTATATGGAATATAAATGATCTTGTGCAAGTGGCTCCCCTCACTCCTTTTAAAATCAAGGGAGTCGAAGGACTTTATTGAAGTGGAAAAATTGACTCACTGGGGTCCATGTATCAGGTTGGTGTGTGCAAAGTGCATTAATATAGCGAAACTGCAAGCGCTCCCCTTGTGGATGTGCATGTGACGTGGGCAATTTGAGACCACCTTGCAAACCCTGGTTGAGCGTCCACGAAGACCAACATCACAAACGACTACTTTTTTCGTGTTTAATTTTTCAGTTTAATATCTAAATCAAGATGGAAATAAAACAGCCATTTAGATTTTTTTTCCAGTGATCCACTTTGGGTTGTGGTGCTTACTTGTAGTTTTGAAGAAACTTGCTGGTTCCTGACATGTCTAATATGCAACAATAGCTTTCATATTATGTTCGTGACAGAGTTTGTGAAAGTTTCACACAAAGCATGTCAACATGTCAGAACCAAATCCCCAAATTTCATTTAATTGAGCCGGCAATAGACTTTGCCATGTTTCCACTCACCAAGGTCAAAACTCAATCTGGTTCCACATCCAAACATCGACTACACATTCAGACAATGTGAGGCTCAAACAAAACAAAACAAAAAAATGATATGAACTAGCAAATTTTCTGTTTCTGATTTTAATTCAAACAAAACTAATTAATTATCTTCCAAAAAAATAAATAAATCCCACTTACAGGTTTCCACTGTCAATCTGATTCCACCTCCAAAAAGTAACCTGTAGGATCCTGTCACACATTAGTTACTTCCTTAACAAGAACCTCCTGAGATCTGTTGTGAAGCTGCAAACTCAATCGGCCTTGTGGTGTAAAAAAAATGTACACAAAAAATGTATTTTATCTTGTTTTATCTCATATTTTTGAAGTAGTGACACAATTTGGGTTGCAATACGTCAAAGCCAAACTTACGAGTCTCCACAGTCAGTCTGGTACCGCTTCCAAAAAGTACTCTCCAGTTTCCTGACACACATCAGTTGGTCCCATAACAAAAACCTGAAGTGAAACTTTGACAAGAGCACAATCGGAATCCTTATGGGGCTGAGGTGGTATTGTGGTAATTTTCCAGCCTGAAGGTCGTGGGTCCAATCCTGAGTCCGAGTGACCATGCTCAAGCGTCCTTGAGCAAAATACCAAAGCCCCAACTTGGTCCTGCTGCTGATGAGGATTGTTCAAGTGCTTTAAGTGCCTTCAAAAGCGCGATACAAGCCAAATCCCATTTGTTATTTACCTTCATGTTTCCATGCACAAATAAAATGCATTGTCAGCGTACCCATTATCTGCTCGTTCCAGCTGCATGTATGGGAAAATTTACCAGTTTCACAACAGCGGTCCGCCTCTTCACAGCGGCATCCCTCAGGGCAACGTTCCTTGTCCACTAGGTTTTCATGTCATCCATATCGACTGGACACGTTTCTCCAAGTGTCCGTGATGTCTTGAATCATGTGATTTGCATCAAAAAAGCTGGGTAAATTTTTCATCATGTTGCCATAGCACTTGAGTCAATAAAAAGGAAGATTCGCAGCAGAAGCATGCAGGTGAACCTTTCCACAAAAAAAACAGAGTGGAGAAACAAAAACAAGTATTCACAACAATGATGTCAATACAAGAGGTGGAAAATACAAGCTACCGGATATATATAGATCATCCTGATTTCCACTGTCATGCTTGTCCCGCCCCTGAAGACAATCTTGAGCCTGCAGCAGCCTTCTTGCAACAACATCCACTGTGACACAAATCTGCAACCACATTGGCCACACCCACCACCTCTGGCTTCACATTGCTGGCATCATGTTGCCTCTCTTCAAAGTCCCGCTCAAAAGTCATTCACATGTATTTTAATGGTAATAGGTGGTCCGAAGTAATGGGACAAACTACAGGAAAATGATACAGGATCCGACATTAATGGTGGCCCAAATGGCCTTATGGCCCTGGACCAGTCTGCCACTCTTGTCGGGGCAACACCAACATTCTAGATGCAGGCTCCGTAGTCCAGTAAAAATTTCACCAATATGAAACTGAAATTCTTGCTTTTAAACAAAATAATGTACAATTTAAACATTGAGTTTTTAGTAGTCAGGGGAGGCAATCAAACTGTCTTGAAAGCTAAGGACCTTTTAGGCTCTAATCAGTCAAAATCTGTCTTGCTTGGGGTTCACAGAGAATTTTCAGTGAAAGATTCTTTGTTCAAAAGTAGGTGGCCACAATAAACAACCAAAACATACTAGGCTGGGTGTGTGCTAAATTATTTTCCACAACAATACTGTATGTATTGGCTTGAACAAGAAATAAGCTCATAATTTTATTTATTTTTTATCCGGATCTGTACTTTCATTCGTGTCACACCAAGCTAACTTATTAGCACTATTTGCTTGCCTGGCCACAAGGAGCCAGAAAAAACAACAATACATAAAACAAAAAGCGCTTGCGAAGGCAAGGTACAAGAGAACACCGGGAATACACAAACGAAATATCTCAAGTCCAATAACATGAAACCAAATATCAAGATCGATAAAAAAAAACATTGAAAACGAGAGCGACTATGAAACGGATCGAACAGTCACACGTTTTCTGCTTTCCGTCTCGCCGAGTAGCAGCTCGCCACGTGCCGGAAGGTTGGCGAGTATCGACAGGAAGTGACAGGAAGCAGGTGCACCTGCATATCGAGATGATTATGCTCATATTTACTTTAATATTAGTTGTAAATTAGTCTGATTAAAATCAAGACAAATATGACGTTCACGCGAACCACAGTGCGCTGATCCGCCAATACATGACTTCGGTCGTGCGTTTGTGATGTCACTGCTTCAGAAAGGTCCCACCCCTTCAGCAACAAGTCAGCGTTCACGTACGTTGCAAGTGCAGACATGAGTCGAGCGCTTGTGTGTGTGCTGACGGCTGCTTGGAGCCTGGGTGAGGTCGAGATGTGAAGTCACTGCCGCTTTCCACTGATGTCTGATCGC